TTAATGTAGTAACGTCAACATCTGTGTCTTATATCTGTTCTATCTATACACGGTGTTCTCCGGCAGCATTGTTATATAGGCCAAATCAGGAAGTCCGAGGTTCCATCAAAGGAAAAGTCTTATAGGTATTAGAGCCAGGAGAATATTGTACAAACATGGAAAATCTCTATAATAATGTTGGTCCGGAAAAAGCAAGTTGTAGAACTAGGGGAAGAATCCTTATTCCATAATGGTGGCTGTGAAAACTGGACAGCACATGGAGAAGACTAAAGCAGACCCACACCTTTCACTCTCACAAAAATACCTCACATGGTACACTTAAACCCAGCTAAAATAGAATTAGAAAACTTTGGAAGAATTCTAGAAGAAAGCATTTGAAATGCTCTGTCTAGATATTGGCCTACGCAAAGAATTATGAAGAAAGACCCCAAAGGCAATCACAGCAACAACAAAAAATAAATAAATGGGACCTGATCAATTAAAAGCTTCTGCACAGGCCAAAGAAATGTCGAAGGAGCATATGACAACCCACAGAATGGGAGAAAATTGTCTCTATGCTACACATCTGTAAGGGGCTGATAACTAGAATTATTTAGAACTCAGGAAATATCAGCAAGAAAAAATCAAACAACCCTATCAAAATGGGCAAGACATGAACAGAGGTGCATTGAGCTCCCCAAACACTTGGGCTGGAGTGGAAAGAGGGACGGTCCCACGGAAATTAGGATCACCTGCAGAAGGGAAGTGAATGTCCCACACCGCACACATAAAAATGCCCCACGATAGTATCATCACCCCCATTTAAATCATGAAATTCTGTCACAGCAAAGTAGATCTGAATTGCACCGGGTCATAAGCCAAAAGCAATGGATGTGAAAAATGAAATCCAGGTCTATACAGTTCCGATCGCTGCATCTTCTACCAAATGCTTCTGTTCAATGTCAGTCAGGGTCTTGGGATTTAAGATGCTTGTGATCCTTCATTTAAAACCGCGTCACATTAAAAATGGTCCTCGGTCACCAGTCCCAGGCATGTGTGTCTTCCACACCTGTAAAATGTTCTCCATCTCAGACTTAGTCCGTCACATACTTCCTCACAGATCCTTGGCCCATCACCGGACTAGGACCAGACTCTCAAGCTCTTACAGCACTATTATACCTCTTTTAAAACTTTAATATTATTAACACATTTCTGAAATATATAGTTGACGTCTGCCTTTGCACTAGACGTGAGGGTAGGAATCGTGTCTGGTTTTGTGCATCTTTGTATTTCAGCCCAACCGCACTACCTAGTTATTTACTGAAGAATGAATGATTTACGCATAAAATAACTCTTTTCTAAAACGTATATGTGTGAAACTTGGACAACGCTACTGATCAGGGTTCAGTAAAATAATAGCTGATTGATTCTCGAAACATGATGGCAAAGGCAAGAAAAAAAGAATTTAAGACCAAAATGCATTCTGCTGTTAGTTGTATGTCCAAGTATTTCAGTCTTCCATAGTGATGGGAGAAGGGGCTAGGAGAGTTGGGGACAAGAAAGGACTAACCTTCTTATCTCGTAATTACACTCTACTTGCTGAATATAATTGAAAATCAGGGGCAACCTTAAAGCTTCTGGACAGTTTCTATATATTAAAACAGTGGTTCTCAAACTTCGGTGCTTATTAAGAAATATCTGAGATGGTTATGGGAAAATGTTGGCTCCTGAGGCCCATAGTGACCTGAGGTTCTGATTGAATTGTTCTGACTTAAACAATCTGCATTTATAATCTATACCCCAACGCACACACACATTCTTGCATTCTCTCTCCCTCCCTCTCTTCCCTTACCCCTCCCTCCCTCCCTCTCCCCCTCCCTCCCTCCCTCCCTCCCCCCCATAGCTACCATCCAGTCTTTAAGAAACATTATTTCATAGGTACAATGAACACTATTTGGGTGATTTATAGCCCTGACTCAAGCCATGTATCAAAAACATTTGTACCCCTTTAATATTTATAAATAATAAAGTAGCTACAGCCCTAAAAAAAGAAAAGAAAAGAAAGATTATTTCAAAGCATTTTCTGATTTTAAACAAGTGGCTGGGAATGAGCTAAGGGATTCCTTGTATATCTGAAGTCTAGCCACCTTTAAAACAAAGCCATGATGACTGTACCCCTCAGAAGTCCCAACAGTCTGTCCTGTTATTCCCTGAAAAGGTACATACCCTTTGAAAATGTCAATGATGTCAAAAAGCATAGTCCTTTAGGCTCTTCTCTCCAAAGTACACTTTCAGATATCTGCTGGTCATTCGAGGCCACTAGATCTCCACGTCTTCTTTTGTTCTACCCCAGGCACTCTGACTTTCACGGCCCACTTTCTGGCTTCCTGACTTCTAACATGTATTCCAGGCTCTTCCATGCCTTTATTACAACAGTGCTGACAGCTTCATTAATTTTTCATCAAAATACAATTTCAAAAGACTTCTACTATGACAGAGAAATGTGTTTCATTTGGGAATAGTTTTCACTTAGTGTGGTCTAGTGGAAGATTTAAAAAAAAAATTTAAAGTTCCCCAAATGTTGCTATCCCTTCACCCTGTAAGCACTCGATAAGAACTGAGGTTCTCCCCAAAACTTGCAATAATTAGAACCAGTCAAAGAGGAATAATTCCTTCTCCCCATCTTTTATTTCGTAAAGTAAGTTGCCAAATCTTAAATCAAAGCGCTCCTAATAAACCAACTCAAGTTTGTCAGTTTGTCAGGAGTGAGTTCAGCGATCTCACCAGCAGAGGGCGCCCGCGTACAGCACTCCGAGAAGCAAGCCACTAAAACAGAAAAGGGAGAAAAATCAAAAAGCCCGAACCATGTAGTAATAGTAAATGCATGCGTCTTGAAATAACACCCTTCTGTTGTGATATTTTTCTGATCTCAAGTGAGTATCGGCAACTCTCTGTTTCGCTAATCACATTAACAAACTATGTCATTTCTCATTGTTGCCAGATGACAAATGCCAGGTTAAAAAAAAAAAAAAAGCCCTGCAGAACCATCTCAGCAATATCTACGATCACTGTCCTGCTGGGGGAGGGGGGTCAAGGGACTCTGTCATCCGTGCAACCAGTGACAGGTTGAATAACACCTGCTTCTGTGTTGGGGGTGACATAATATATTTGAGGGGTGAAAACCTCTTTATTGGATTTTATATACTCGACTTTCTGGAACCAAACAGATTCAATTAGTGGATCCCCATTATTTGGTAGATTTGGCTTATGGGGGTATAAAAACAACCCAGATGGATGACTCCTTAGATCTGCCTTCAAAGGATTTATAATCCGGTGGGCAAATATACCTACAGAGCTACACTGTATTATTGTGCAAAGAAGCTGTTTATATAAACTCACATATCGAGCGTTTGCTCTGTGGGCATCACACGTGGTGTGTAAGGCTCAGTCAATCCTCCAACAACAACAAGACGTAGATAAAACACAGGTGAGGCTTAGAGAGGGGACAGCTTACCAGAGCTGGGATGGGACCCCAGGACTCTGGGACCCCACCCCCACCCCCCTGCTTGCACTCTTCGTCTTCCATTTTAAGAGAAGCGTGTGTTATTAGTTGTTCTGCTTATTACAAAAAAAAATCAGTACACGTTCCCTTGTGAAAATACTCCTAGTGACCTTGTATATTTCTGTTGGCCTCGCAATGGAAGAAGGACCGGGTTCTGCAGACCCTGTGGCCTATGATGCGTCCCAAGGGGTGGTAAAGTTTTCCTCAGGAGCCAACAGAGGGCAGCAACACATCAACCAACCACCGAAACCCTCTCTGTGGACAGGCTTCATCTCCCCGCTGGGACCTCCAAGCCCCACCGCGCCGGAGCTGGGCGTAGGTGATCGGGAGTGCCAATTTCTTACCACCATTAAAAAAAAAAAAAATTAAAGGCTACTCTTGCCACGGAGGCGACTAAGAATGTCTTCAGCCGGGATGGAAGTTCACTGAGAAAAAATGTCTCTTTCAATAAAGGGAACTAAGGGCTGAGGGACGTGCCACTCCTTTGACATCTGGGGATGGCAGATGTGCCCCAGAGCTTTCCGCTCAAGGCCGGGAGGATGCCGCTTTCCTGCGGGCTCCTTGGGGACGAGCCGAGCCGGGTGCAGAAATGCTAAGTCCGCACGCCGGGTCTGGATGCGGGGTGGCCGGCCTCGAGGGTCCCAAAGGCCTGGCCCGCAGCTGCCGTGGATCCTGTCACCGGAGTGAAGGCTGCCCCTTAGCGCACCAGTGACAACAGCCGTGCCACTGGGGGCTGAGGACTGCTCCACTGTGACTGGCACCTAGCGATCGGGTGCTCATCGCTTGTGACAGCGTGTCATTCCTGCCCTTGTCCCCCGAGATGAAGACTCTTCAAAGCCACCAAAAGCACCCACCCCTTCCGTGGGAGGAAGGCGAGGGGAGGGGGCCGCCGAACGTGTAGCCCGGTGCCGAGCAAAATGCTGCAGAAACAACATGCTAGAATAAAAAGGCGTAGACACAGGAATGCCTAGCGGTCTCTAACTTCGGCCCAAAGGCCCGTGTGGTCTCTGCAGGCGTGGCCGTCCCAGCCAGGGCCATGGTCATGCTACCTCGAACCCATGAAATTGCCGCCAACCTGCAAAAATGGCAATTGCACGTCGATTAACCCGGTTAGGAGGACAAACGGCGATAATGATAATAGCTGGCACTTCTTGGGCACTTCCAAGTGCCAGTGACGGGTTCCAGGTGTGTCCCATGTGTACGCTCACGCAATCCTTACAGTGAGCCAGTAAGGCAGGGTCTAAGATGAGACCCACTCTGCAGATGAGGCGACAGAGGACCAGCGTGGTTCTAGTAACTTCTCAAAGTCGCGCAGCCAGGAGAGAGCAAAGCTCGATTGGAACCCAGCCACTGGGTCCAGAGCCTCAGGGGAGCGGACACAGTTGAATGCAACAGGGTCTCTTTGGGGGAACATGGGCTCTGCTAACCTCACCATCTGCTCTTTTTTTTTTTTTGCCAGGTGAGCCAGTACACGTTCGCCATGTGCAGTTATCGGGAGAAGAAGGCAGAACCCCAGGACCTTCTACAGCTGGATGGCTACACTGTGGATTACACCGACCCCCAGCCAGGTATCTGCCTGCCCTCCGGGCCACAAGCCCAGGGAACCCTCACCACCACCCCCAATCAATGTCAACTGATACTTGCTGTGCATTTGCTCCATGCTAGGCACTAAGTCCATTCATCTACGAGGGTTTCACCAATGACCACGACAGCCACCATCCTTGATCACACAGAGTTTCCATCCTGGCCGATCAAATGCTCTCCCAGCCTCTAGGGGCTTTGGTTTGACTCGAGAGATTCTCTGGTTTAAAACCAAAGAAAGAGACCGGGCGTGGTGGCTCATCACGCCTGTCATCCTGGCAGTCTGGGAGGCCAAGGCAGGAGGATCGCTCGAGGCCAGGAGTTCGAGACTAGCCTGAGCAAGAGTGAGACCCCATCTCCACTATAAATAGAAAGAAATTAATTGGGCCACTAATATATATATAGAAAAGATTAGCTGGGCATGGTGGCGCATGCCTGTAGACCCAGCTACTCGGGAGGCTGAGGCAGGAGGATCACTTGAGCCCAGGAGTTTGAGGTTGCTGTGAGCTAGGCTGACGCCACGGCACTCACTCTAGCCTGGGCAACAAAGTGAGACTCTGTCTCAAAAATAAATAAATAAATAAAACCAAAGAAAGAAATAATAAAGCATTTTTCTTTTACATTCCTGTAACCACATTCAATATGAACTCTACCATGCAATGCTAAAAAAAAAAAAAAAATTCTGCAAAAGAGGAAGGTTTTACGTGTTCACCGAGGAATACATTTGTGTATATGTGTGTGTGTGTGTGTGTTGTTTTTTACAAGTGGTGTGTGGCTTGGTGGATTTTGTCTCCATGACCGAACGAGCCTGCTCTGTGCATCTATGTTCACTAACTGTAATTAAGAGCCCATAAAGTTAGCTGATGCCACTTAAATGGCTTTTGTCCTAGGAAGACACCAACCCACAAGCGTAGACTCTGAAGCTCCCAAGCCTTATGTAACTAAGAGAACCACAGAAATGGGAGTTTTGCTTATAACTTCTACATTGCATGAGTTCTACATCCTGCCCCCTCGCACCTCTCTCCCCTACCCACTTTATCTCTTTTTCCCGGAAAAAAATGAATAGAAATCAGCCTCAAAGAACCTTCAAAATGAAGGGGGGGTGCGAAATCATTTCAGCATATTAATGAACAACAAGCACCGACAGCCCTCTCCCGGAGAAGTTTATTTTTATGCCAAATCTGCACAAGGAAAGCATTTCCAACCATACTGCATACTGCATTATTTGGCCCAAAACCTTTTTCTCTACTCCCATATTGCTCTTCCACATGCAACAAAATACACATAAAAGAAAAACAGAGTTTGAGAAAAGATGGGGTGCTAACCTGAAAAGGTGTCATAGGGAAGGCCTCGTGCAGGAAAATTAGCACCTTCAGCTTCTCAACCCTCAGTGAGTTGGACCAGCCCCACCTCTTGAGACTTTCGTGTGTAATTTGCACGCTGCTTAGATAGAGCATGATACTGAACTGACCACCTAAGGCGTGAATGATAACTTCTGCCTCTGAGATTCTTCCCAATGAGTAGAACCTACGAGTTGGAAAGAAACACTTTCAAGCAGTATCTCATTAAAAGCGTGGGGCTCCTTCGTTAAGAGACTAGCCTTTAGGATATTCTGCGATCATTTGTGTTCTTCTCAGGTCATTGGGTTCCCGTGGAAGAAATAGATCCGGTCATTCCTAGGGCCTGCATTTTAAAGTAGGAGTCTACAGGGGCCAATATGAGAAGGAAAACCAATGCCATCTTATGTCCGTAATTCCTCTGAGCCAGTTCCTTGTTCCTCTCCTTGTCCATGATTTCATTTAGCCCTCACTGGAGTCCTGCAATGTGCATAGAACCCGGGTCGTCAGCCCATTTTGTAAATGAAGAAACAGATTCTTGAGAGATCTTAGGCTCTTTCTCAAGGGTGCCTAGTGGCCGAGCTGGGTCTCGGGCTCTAACCCTTTGGCACTTACAGTAAAACATAGTTTTACCAGCAGCTATTGCAAAGCTGTCTATAGTTGCTATTTTATCTGATGAAAGCAGAATTCTCTTCTGACGGTGGGAAGGGAAGAAGTAGGGAGAGAGCTATTCTATCTGCATGTGTAAGGAGTAACCACATACATATTTTTTAAGCTGCTTTTATTTCTTTTTATGTCGATCCCGTGGGATGGAATTTATAAATTCCTTTATGGAAGATGTAAAATGTAAATTGATTATTTTCTTGAGAGTAATCAGCAGCTTTTTCTCTCTGACTTCTCATTTACTAAGTCCTATGTATTTCCCCGAGTAATATCAGATTGAAAATGGAGACTTAAATACTCCCAGTTGCCATAGGAAAAAAGTCTAACTCGGAATTTCTGCTTTTTTGTTTTTTTTAAAAGATGGTCTTACTCTGCCGCCTGGGCTAGAGTGCCGTGGCGTCAGCCTCGCTCACAACAACCTCCAACTCCTGGGCCCAAGAGATCCTCCTGCCTCAGCCTCCCGAGTAGCTGGGACTACACACATGTGCCACCATGCCAGGCTAATTTTTTCTATATATTTTTAGTTGGCCAATTAATTTCTTTCCATTTTTAGTAGAGACGGGGTCTCACTCTTGCTCAGGCTGGTCTCGAACTCCTGACCTTGAGCGAACCTCCCTCCTCGGCCTCCCAGAGTGCTAGGATGACAGACATGATTACAGACATTACGCGCCTGGCCTGACTCAGAATTTCTTAAAGAGTGTTTATTAGACATAAAAGTTCCTGGTCCCCACTCCTAACCTGTGAACCAGAGGAGGAGGGCCAGAGTCCTCCTATGTCACTGGGTACAGCAGATGTTTGTGTGCACAGTGACATTTGCAAGCTGGAAGGCCAAGTGATGTGCATTTTAGCTGGTGTCCTCCGAGCTCTGAGTCTTCTTGTCTGCTCCCCGGTAGGTGGGCTGCAACAGCAGCCAGAGAGGTAGGAGGAAAACCAGGTTTCCAGCAAACCAAGTGAAGAAAGTATTTTAGGCCGGGCATGGTGGCTCATGCCTATAATCTTAGCACTTTTGGGAGGTTGAGGCCCAAATGGGCCAATTTAGCCTCAACCTCCCAAAGTGAGAGAATAGCTTGAGGCCAGGAGGTCAGGGGTTCCAGACCAGCCTGAGCAAGAGTGAGACCCTGTCGAAAGGAAGAAAGAAAGAAAGAAAGAAAGAAAGAAAGAAAGGAAGGAAGGAAGGAAGGAAGGAAGGAAGGAAGGAAGGAAGGAAGGAAGGAGGGAGAGAGGGAAAGGGGGAAAGGGAAAGAAAGAAAGAAAGAAAGGAGGGAGGAAGGAAGAGAGAGAAAGAAAAGAAAAGAAAGTAGGGAGAGAGAGGAAGGAAGGAAGGAAGGAAGGAAGGAAGGAAGGAAGGAAGGAAGGAAGGAAGGAAGGAGAGAGAGAGAAAAAGAAAGAAAGGAGAAAGGAAAGGAAAGGAAAAGAAGGAGAAAGAAAGGAAGAAAGAAAAAGAAAAAAAATTTACCCAGGCATGGTGGCGCATGCCTATAGTCGCAGCTACTAGGGAGGCTGAGACAGGAGGATCGCTTGAGCCCAGAAGTTGGAGGCTGCAGTGAGCTATGATGCTGCCGCTGCTCTCTAGCCTGGATGATAAAGTGAGACCCTGTCTCAAAGAAAAGAAAAGGAAAGGGAAAGGGAAAGGGAAGGAGAGAAAGAAGAGAAGGAAAGAAAGAAGAAGAAAAGCGTCTGAAGAGAAGAGAGTGTCAGATGCTGCTGGCAGGTCAACGGATCACATGAATGAGGACTTTGAGTTGATCACAGGACTCAGCGATGCGAAGGTCACTGGTGACCTTCACGAGTCCCCGCAGGGCGGCAGCCGGGTGGGAGGGGCTGGGAGGCAGAGTAGAAGAGCAGAGGCCCTTGCCACTCAAAGCGCAGCCCTCAGGTGGCGCCATCCTCATCGCTGGGGACCTTGTTGGCCATGCTGACTCCCTGGCTCCAGTCCAGACCTACTGAGTCAGAAGCTGCCCTTGAACCAGATGCTCAGGGGGGTCGCATGGCGCTAGCTTTGGGAAGCCCAGGTAGAGCGCGCCCAAAGCGCTTTCATTGCGGAGAGAAGAGCAACAGGACAGTAGCCGAAGGGAGAGAGGTGGGTCAGCAGAGGTTTTTGTTCTTGCTCTTTGCTCGTTTGTTTCTTTTTATTTTTTAATTTTTTTTATTTTAGCATATTATGGGGGTACAAGTGTTAAAGTTATGTATATTGACCATGCCCCCCTCCCCCCTTGAGTCAGAGCTTCAAGTGTGTCCATCCCCCAAACGTTGCACATCTCACTCGTTGTGTTTGTATACACCCGTCCCCTCCTCCCCCCTCCCACCTGCCTGACACCCGATAGATGTTACTCCTACGTGTCCACTGAGGTGTTGATCCGTTAATACCAATTTGCTGGTGAGTCCATGTGGTGCTTGTTTTTCCATTCTTGGGATACTTCACTTAGTAGAATGGGCTCCAGCTCTATCCAGGAATATACAAGAGGTGCCAGATCACCGTTGTTTCTTAGAGCTGAGTAGTACTCCATGGTATACACATACCACATTTTATTAATCCACTCATGAATTGATGGGCACTTGGGTTGTTTCCACAGCTTTGTGATTGTGAATGTGCTGCTGTAAACATTCGAGTGCAGGTGTCTTTTTCATAAAGTGACTTTTGATCTTTTGGGTAGATGCCCAGTAGTGGGATTTTTGCTGGCTCAAATGGTAGATCCACTTGTATCGCTTTGAGGTTCTCTCCATATTGCTTTCCACAGAGGTTGAACCAGTTTGCAGTCCCACCAGCAGTGTAGGAGTGTTCCTCTCTCTCCGCACCCACGCCAGCATCTATTGTTTGGGGATGTTTTGATAAAGGCCATTCTAAAGATGAGAAAACAAAGAGCGCGTGGATGCGCAGATGTTTGCCTGGGCGCTAGGCAGCCTGCTTGACGGTTCTGTCCCAGCAGGACAAACAGCGACAAAAGCCAGGCTCAGAAATGCCTCTTTGACATCATGGCCCCTCTCTGTGGCCAAGTGGGGCTTCGACCTCCCATCCTAGAGGAATCACTCCTGCCTCTCCCCCAGCCCAAGAGAAAGCCACACAGGTGGCTCTTCTAAGGACCACGTCCTGCTGGCGACATTGCCAGTCGGCTTCATGGAAGTTGCCACTCCCTCTCTCCCCAGGTTTGGAGGGTGGCCGAGCCTTCTTCAATGCAGTCAAGGAAGGAGATACGGTGATATTCGCAAGTGACGACGAGCAAGATCGCATCCTGTGGGTCCAAGCCATGTACCGGGCCACTGGGCAGTCACACAAGCCCGTGCCCCCGACCCAGGTCCAAAAGCTCAACGCCAAGGGGGGGAACGTGCCCCAGCTGGATGCTCCCATCTCTCAATTTTGTAAGTAAACATGCCAATTTTTTTTTTTTTAATAGCCCTGTAGGGTAAGGTCAATCTTCCAAAGTTGAATTAGAAAATCGAATTGCTTTTCTGTTTAAGATTTATGAAACCATATTTGCTCAAAACACGTAGTGAATTCAGGGGGGAAAGGTGGGACGAGATGTTAGCTGAAAGTAATTTTAAAGTGCAATACTTGACATTCTCCCCCAAGCACTGAACAAAGGAAAGTGTATTTTAGGTGGATTTTCTTATCCCTTTATTTTGGTGAGAGTCTGGAATTCACAGCCAAACATGTATTTACCCTTCAAAGATCGTAGATTATGTACGTCCTTGCTTCATTTCTTTCTATTAAAAGTAATTTAAAAATAGGGTCAATTTGAAGGAAACTTAAATCTGCAAGTTAGAACCATTTAAAAATAAATGATGACATTATCACATGCAGCGAAGAAAAAAAAAAAACATAAAAACCAAAACATAGTACCTACGATCCCATTCTGAGCTAAAATATCAGAGACCCAAAAATGAAACCATCTCCTTAAACAGCCCTAGTTCATATTCTAATTGTTTTTTTTTTCTCCTCTTACCTCTGCATCCATTTAATTTCTTGCTACCTAAAATGACTTTTATCTCCCGACACTTCTGATAAACATGGTAAGGTGGAGGCCAGTCTATGCTTGGAAATGTTTATTAAAACAAAGAAAATGGAGACGTAAAGCATCAAAATAAAGCAATTCATTTTAGTTCCAAACATTCACCCTAAAGAGAGACTTTTGCCTTACCCTGAAGACCCAGTGCATTAGTCTCTCCTTTGCAGCCCTTTGCAAAAATATAGATGTGTTGGCCGGGCGCGGTGGCTCACGCCTGTCATCCTAGCACTCTGGGAGGCTGAGGCGGGAGGATTGCTCGAGGTCAGGAGTTCGAAACCAGGCTGAGCAAGAGGGAGACCCTGTCTCTACTATAAATAGAAACAAATTAATTGGCCAACTAATATATATAGAAAAAATTAGCTGGGCATGGTGGCGCGTGCCTGTAGTCCCAGCTACTTGGGAGGCTGAGGCAGGAGGATCACTTGAGCCCAGGAGTTGGAGGTTGCTGTGAGCGAGGCTGATGCCATGGCACTCACTCTAGCCTGGGCAACAAAGCGAGACTCTGTCTCAAAAAATATATATATATATATAGATAGATAGATAGATAGATAGATAGATAGATAGATAGATGTGCATGAAATGATTTTGCAGCTACAGCAACTAAATGGAGGTGAATTCTCTTTTCAGTGAATTCCACTGCCATGCTCCACTTCTGTCTGACAAAACTATATTCTTAAACCTTGTAACACCCTTGCTGACCAGGAAATACGACATTGTCGGGGGGTGACAAATTCTAACCATCACATGCTCCCAGAAATTCCTATCCAGCGTTAATGGTCTCTTAAAGGGAGATGCACACCCTCGTGGGACATTGTAAATAACAGTCACTGTGGATTTCCACGCGGAAAATTGTGAAAGAATAAGAAAGAAATTGGGGTGGGACTTAAAGGAGAAGGGCCAGCCCTCCTGCCCATGGCCACCACCAATTCCCCGCTCTCTTCTTCTTTTCTCTAACACCTTCTGGCTCATCTTTTGAGAGCAATGAAGAGAGCAACAGTCATTAGTGGAAATTAAGCGGTTACCCAACATTTGTTTAATTTTTCTACAACAACTACTAAGTGGTGGGATCCCTCCCTTCCTCCTGCCCGAACCACTCGTTTGTAATACATTCGGAGACAACACATCCCATAGTATTCACCCAAAGTGGAATTATCTGTGTATCAGAAAGAAAAAAAAAATTCTAATTCTAATCACCATCAAAATCAACCTCATAAAACATATGTATCAGGTGATATTTGGAAAATGCTAGTCTTATTTCCAAATAATCTCCATTTCTTCTAAAGTCATTTCGCCTTACATTCAGTGTCTCTGTCCTGCCATTTCCCAGGTTGGTCGTAAAATTAAATGGAAACCAGACATTGGTTTAAGAAGAAAACTAGCGACGGAAGCTGCTGAGGAAGGGATGTCCCTCCATGGAAATGCACACAGGCTCCTGATATAGGTTTTCTGCAGTGGAGAGGGCTTCATTTCATTGTGAAATGAAAATACTAGTCATTGGGCAGCAGCAGAAAGATTCAATTGCATAGTCACAGCCTGGTGTATGTCACTACCGTAGATGAAATAGGGAACTTTTATTAAAGGGAGCGTCCAAAGCAAAATCCTAAGGGTTACAGTTTGGAGGGTAAATAATATAATCCTTAAAGAAAGCATGTGAAGTAGGCTGAGAGATGAGTTAGAAAGGTCAGATAATGCATGTTTCTAGGATTTATCAGTACCTGGTGGTTGAGCTACCTTCTTCTCTGTTACATCCTTAATCACTGCCCAGGAATCGGGGGGCTCCAGAAAGCATGAGGCCCTACCACATCTACCAGTTTCTATAAAAATGAGGCCACTGTAATCAGCCATGTACAGATTGTATACTACAGCAGGCACCTTTCACAGAGACAAAATTACGAATGGTGCCCATTGAGTTGTGCAGTGCCCAGTCTGCACAACCGTACCCATTGGCCCTGAAATAAATGGCAATCCTTACCCAGAGTTTCAGCCCAGCAGTGTTGATCCCAATAGTCGCATGGTTACTTTATTATCCCTGAAACAGAGCCTCAACACTGCTCCAAATTCTACCTATTGCTAGTGTAGGCACTTCTAAAAACCCAAGCCAGAGTACCAGCAAGAGTGGCTTCTGTCCCCATAATTTAGAAACCAACAGAGAAAACCAGTCGGGATTTAATCAGCCCAGCCTTCTTCTGCACCTAAGCATGTGCAGTTAGAGGGATGTAAAACCCATGAGAAGGCTGGGCATGGTGGCTCACGCCTGTAATCCTAGCTCTCTGGGAGGCCGAGGTGGGCAGATTGCTCGAGGTCAGGAGTTCGAAACCAGCCTGAGCAAGAGCGAGACCCTGTCTCTACTATAAATAGAAAGAAATTAATTGGCCAACTAATATATGTATATATAAAAAAAAAATAGCCGGGCATGGTGGCACATGCCTGTAGTCCCAGCTACTCGGGAGGCTGAGGCAGGAGGATTGCTTGAGCCCAGGAGATTGAGGTTGCTGTGAGCTAGGCTGACGCCAAGGCACTCACTCTAGCCTAGGCAACAAAGCGAGACTCTGTCTCAAAAATAAATAAATAAATAAATAAAACCCATGAGAAAAATCAAAAAAGGAACCAGGAAGTTTACGTTCTATGGTGTCATTGGGTAGTTAGGTATCAGAGGCAGTCAATCAATCAATCAATCAATCAAGTGGTTGGGGTGACAGAGTTCAGTCCTCCCTGGGTATCCATGGAAATTGGTTCCAAGACCTTCTGTAGATACCCAAATCCACAGATGCTCAAATCCCTGATACAAAATGGACAAGTATTTTTGCATATAAGCTGCACACATCTGCCCATATACTTTAAATCATCTGTAGGTTACTTATAACACAGAATGCAATGTAAGTGCTGTATAAATAGTTGTTGTACTATGTTGTTTAGGGAATAATGACAAAAAATAATAATACTAAAAAAAGTCCATACATGTTCGCTATAGATGTAAATTTTTTTGAATATTTTCAGTCTGCCATTGGTTGAATCCACAGATGGATGCAAAGGGCTGACTGTATATCCTAATTTTTAGTGGTGTCTGCCCCCGCACGGTGGTTAGTTCACAATTACTACCCAGCTGCTTTAATTTGTTAAGTTCAAACCATCGCTGTTAAATAGAACAAGTCTGTTTCACTTGACTGTCTGATCAGTCTGGGTAACTCGACCCAACCCACCGTGTCAATTCATACGTAGGGTGACCAACCCCTCCCGGTTTGCCCAGCCCCTTCCTACTCTTAGTACTGAAAGTCCTACGTCCCAGGAGCCCCCTCAGTCCTGGGCAAACTGGGATGGGTTGGTCATCCAGTACTGCAAAGCAAGACAAAATGAAAAACCATCATAACATAGTTATAAATAGCAAGCTTTGGTCCTTCACTTACATTTGGTTGCCAATCTATACACCGATTTATTTAAATTAAGTCACATCACACAAATTAATCAATCACAGATTCTCTAAAAAAAAATCAAGTATTGCATTTTAAAAAGGTTTCCTTGACTTCCAAAAGGTAAGGGTCACTGTTAACCATGTAACTCTGCACACATCTCATTAAATACTGTTTGTGAATATTTGTTCAAAGGATTTGCCATTCTTGCTAGTGAACAATTTTTTAGAATGACTTTCGATGCCTTAACGTCGTAATGGCTTGATTAGTATTTACTCGGCAGAGGGAAGCTACGTAGAAAAGGGAAGCAACATAGAAATATTTTTGGGGTAGAAAAAAATAAACACTCCAGTCTTGTCATGTGGCTGTCTATTCAAGGGAAACTTAAGAATGGAACATTTTTATAGTTTGGAAAAACTTGGGAGTAATTGTGAGTTTATTTGGGTCTTTCTAAATTCAGTTTAACAGTCTCCTTGGTGCAGTTTTTATTTTTTGCAATTTCAAAATGAAAAGACATGTCTAAGAAAGAGTGGAGTGGAGTTATTTATATGGAATTGCAAAACCTGAAAAAATAGATCCTGCTATTCATTAGTTTGTGTGAGACTCTACAAAGATTTGGGGAGGGTTCCATCAACCTTTGAAACTTTTTTGTTCTTTTGTAGTTTTTTTGTGTGTGTCATTGTTGATTTAATTTTTTTTCCTTTCTTTGTTAAAATTTTTTAAAAATTAAGTCATTACCTAGCTACACAACTTTTTTAAAAAACCAATACTTGCAATTCTCCAATTTTTAAGGCCAGTGTTGTTTATCTTGAAAACGATGTCCAAATCTGTAGTTGAAAGTTGCCACGATTTATTATGCCAAGTGGCCTATCCTTGATACACTTTTTCCCTGTCCATGACGTTAGTAGAACAGTAAAAATTAGTATCTCAATCCTCACTCGAGTGG